GGAACCAACTTTGTCCGCTCACAGCTCCAGTACGGGCTCGATCAGACTCTCACGCCCATCACCGTCCCAGGAAGTACGTCCATTTCAACTACACGACGTACATACACACATGCTAACACGCCCCTTAGCCCAGCCCCCACCGCTAACCAAAGACCTCTTCGGGTGGTTCTCTCTCAAACGCACGTCATTCGACAAGTCCTTCCACACCTACGTAGTCGAGTGGGACGAGTCCTTTATCCGATTCTGGGTCGACGGGCGCGTGCGCTCGATTCTCGAGGTCGATGTGGACCCAAAGACGAAGCCGAGCAAGACGGGCGAGGGCGGTGGCGGGACGTTTTGGGATAAGGGCAAGTTTCCCGCGACGGCGCAGAATAAGACGACGGGCAGTGTGGTTGTTGTCAAGGATCCGTGGGTCGATGGGGGTGTTACGGCGCCGTTTGATCAGAGTGAGTGGTTTTGTTGTTGTTGTTGCACAAGGAGCTGATGGGATGTAGGGTTTTATTTGAATATCGATTTGGGAGTTGGGGGGAGGACGGGGTGGTTCCCGGATGATGAGGGTGGGAAACCGTGGTTTGATGGGTCAGCGAGTATGTGTTTTTTTCCTTCTTCTTTTTCTTTTCGTTCCCCTCGCGCTTCTGCTTCTGCTTCTGCTTCTTTACCCCACCACACACATGTCCCATCCTCATTACGTTTCCCTGCATTGCTTATCTACACCCACCTTCTCCTTACCTCACTTACCCAACAACCTTAAACTCAACCTCACCCATCCATCACCTCCTGTTCTCCACACCTTCTCTTCTTCCCTTGCATCCATCCTTCTTTGGATAGCATGATATGATCCAGCACGCAATCCCCATTCCCCTCCTACACTCCCACAAACACCACTAACCACCCTTCACCCCACCCAGCCGCAATGCGAGACTTTAACAACGCCATCGACACATGGTCCGCCACATGGCCTCAGAGCGCCGACGATCGCGCGTTCAGAATGTACGTCTCGTCTCGTCTCGGTTCTTCTTCCCCCCCCCCCGTTCTCAATCCACACGCTAACACTGACACTGATACCCCACCCGTAGTGCATCCGTGAAGATGTGGAGCAAGGAACCCTGCGGGAATGCTAATACCAATACTAAGTGATCACCACTCCCTACATAGATGAAATCTGAAATCTGAAATCTGAAATCTGAATTCGACGGCTATGTGGTTCATACCATTAATACCCCGGATGGACGATTCGTTCTCGTGCTCGTGTTTGTGCTCGTGCTTGGGCTTGTGCTTGGGCTTGGGCTTTTTATTAGGCTTGCTTTGCCCTCCTACGTCAGGCGCCGCGATGGCGATGTGTGAGATGTTGAGATGTTGTGATAGGCCCATGGACCTCTATGAACTAGAAACAATTTGATATTGGTTTTCTTTAGTTTTTTTTATGTGAGTAGTTAGTTAGTTGGATAGGTAGATAAAGATATTTTTTTTTTCTGTTTAATGTTTAATGTTTAGGTTACACTACTTCTATTCGTTCGTTGATTCGTTCGTTCATTCAGCGTTTTTCTTTATTGATACGGATGTGCTTGATATGCGTCTGTCTAGTATCCTCCATCGATTGATCTGAGTGAGTGACTGAGTGACTGAGTGAGTACGCATGATACTACAACGGTACGAGTACACGGAAAACGTGTACGATAAACGTGGGTTTAACTTGGGTGAGCGAGAACGAAACGGGCCCTTCAGAGTCAGAGTCTGTCGATGTTGATGTTGACTTGGGCATGATATAATATGTTCTCTGGGTACACATGTCCCGATCGTTGCGTTGCGGTCGGTAAGACCAGTCTTGGAGATTTTGGATTAGATGGAGCCAATGGCCAGGGGTACTTGCTTGTTGGACTGCTGTGCTGTACGTTTACGTATACGTATACATGTACAGATATGTATTACAGCTGTGTAGTGAGGAACGCTAACGGTAACGGTTACACCGAGCGAGTCGCGCTAATTCGGATTCGGATAGGGGTTTGAGTAATTGAGTACTGAGTACTGAGTGCTTGTATGTTTATGCTCAAGGATCTTTGCTGGTTTGGTGGGTTTTATGGTGGGATTGGATTGGGAGGAGAATGATCACTCTGGGATCGGGATCGGGTAACGGACCAGGGATGAGCCAAGATGAAGAAAAGGAAAAGTCGAGACCAGAGTCGTCGGTGCCCATACTAGTACTTGCTTGGATTTGGAGTACCCCTGGCCACTTGGCCTACTTTGTCAAGTTCGACTTCGACCTTCGAAGTGTTTGTTTGACCGCACCGAGTCCGAGTCCGAGTTTGTGTGCTGTGCTGGTCCTTCTCACCCCCTCAGCAAGAGCAGCCTGTTATACATACCCCCCCGCGAATCGCGGGTAGTCTCCGAGTCAGTGCGACTGCTTTCGATAAGATAAGTCTGGATAAGTATATGTTCGTGTGAGAAGCCACGTGATACCGCAGGAGAGACGCGCTTTTGCGTCTCCACCCCCGCCCTGGACGTCGGATTGGATCAGAATCGGCAATGCGTGATGTCCCCTTCCCAATCGCGGGAGTGTGTGTACTTACTTACCTTTATCAACAGAGAGAAGATCCCCCCCCCTTGGCCTCACGTATACCATGTTGTGATCACTCCTGTATGCCAGATGGGTCGTACCACTCGACTTCGAAGTGTAAATTCGTGTGCTCCGCCGGGCCTCCGATTGGCTGGATATCACCTCGAAGCTTCTCATTCGCACAGATGTACATACATACCATACTAGTATAATGAGCATGAGCTTGCGTGATTGTCCACGTAATTAATATTGGACAGGAGAGAATCTTTGGCAGATCCCGCCGGAGTTTGTGGCTCAGGCGCGTCTCCTAAGCCATGATGCATGAGGGCCCACGTGGTAATCAAGTACACGAACAATGATATGAACTTACCGCTCTGCTGTCGCTAGACTACGAGCTGCCATATCAACTCCTATGTATGTTGTGCTTCTTCATGCCCATGCATATATATCAGTCTTGATAATAGAGGTAAATGAATGCACACCGACAGGCGGTAACGAGTCAAGTTTTTCTTATTATTGGAACGGCCTCACTGATATCAGCATGTTCAATTCAACGGCCGTGTTAATGAGCCATCGGTCATACTTACGAACGGATAACTTATTTATCAGTCGGAGATCAGGAGAATGATATCGCGTGTCACCATTCCTTCGGCATTCGGTGAATATTTGCACACACCGAGACCCCATGACCTCGGTTATTTGGGCTAACATAGAACGGATCCGAACAGTGTAGTACGATACGACAGTTGTTATGTGGAATTGTCTCGCGAGTTTCCTGTCAGAAAAAGAACAATAGCTACATAAGCCTGATTTATACGTATTACGGTATAGCACAATCTGTTCGAACACTCACCCGACCCCCGAGACTCAATGCTCAGTACTCAGACCCTCAGCAGGTAACTTACGGCGACCTACAGAAAGTCATTTAGATTACCGACACCTGTACGCAATGAGAAAAACGCACTCAACCCTGAATGATGAATACATATATACAAAGAGATGATGATGATTGATCCGTAAGCATGGAAGTATTACGTACCTGTTACTCTCTTGGCGCTGTCGCTCATATCCGATGGCCCCGATTCTGTCAATGTGGCGCCAAATTAAGGCGAATAAAGTCAATATTGGTGTGGCAGTGCACTGATAATCCCCATCGGTTCCGTCCAAGATACAATCAATTGCTAGACGGACCCCCTGGCACCTCTGAACACTTCAACATGAGTTAGACGGATAAATACCTGTTTTGTACTTATGAGAGATTGATTTATTGTTTGGCTTTATACAAGTCCTCCCTCGTACATGCATCATGATTGAACTTGCGAGCTTTACGAAATTCAGTCCTGCGGCGACTGATCCTCCCTCTCTGCTGGTAGTTGTCTGTGCGTTGTTCGAATGCTGGATGACCATCAGGAACAGACTGTCTATGACTTTGATGTCATGTCTCCGAGTATATAGATACGCGAGAACGCTGGTTGCTTAGCGAGGAGCGTGAGCTCCAAAATGCACGTAACCTTGATCGCGCTCGTACTGTTTGCGGACTTTTGTGCCAGTGAGATTCTCACTGTGGTGCTTGACTACAGGGCTTCGTGTACTTTGCGTGGGGTGTTGATGCAGGAAGATACGCAGTTTGACGTTGGCCATTGAAGCTAGTTGCTTTGTATTCTGGCTAGGTGAATCGGCAGAACTCACTTTTGGGTTTCAGTGGAGCGGTCTGATGGTTTACACAACGAATTTCTTTATAAGGACAGATATCCGAAAGGGCCTATCTGAAGTGCCCTGACTAGGACTGGAGCTCGCAGGTTTCGAGGCTTCAATATCGACTGATGATTGATTAAATAAGACGTCAGAGAAAGCGACTCTGGCAATGGTAAGCTTGGTACGCTCAGGCCCAAGCTCAGCGCTCGGCCATGCAAAACTCAACGAGAACTGGGACGTCAAGTTTACATCACAATTACGTAAGTATGTCTCGTCCCAAGTTTTTATGTTTTTTTTTCTTATTCTTGGCTCATTTGCGCTGCTAAAAGCATTTTCTACAATCGTACAAGAGATCGTATTCTATTCTGACTACTAGAGTGGGCTATTTTCCTACTAGTATGTTGTTCTCTCCGGATTCTCCTTGGTGTTTTTTCTTGAACTTATTGGTACCTCTAAATGTACTCGATCGTATAATTCTCGTGAACGTGACCCATCTATAGGTGGCTACACCGTTCGAGCCAGACGTGATGTAGTTGTAGCTACGAAGATGAAGGAGTACAACAGATATTTCTTCATACCTCTCCACTGAGTCTGCGCTGAAAACAGCAATAGCATGAGTCGAGTAACGTAATGCGGTTTTTCAGGCTCGAGCAATGGTATTTTATATATCGACTTTGGATGGAGGACAACTTGCAGAGACCTGTGCAATGTCTTACGTGACCTAGTTAACCGCATTTCATAATTGACCAATGGGGTCTTGGCGCAGCGGTAGCGCGTATGCTTTGCAGGGTTGGTTCTGAATTGCATAAGGTCGTGGGTTCAAGCCCCACAGTCTCCACTTTTTTATTCTTAAGGCCGTTCGACGCGGACCAGTTTCTGATCCGTTTTGCGCCACAACGAAAGGCTTTTCTTTGATCCCCGATGTTTGAAGGTTAACTTTGAACCTCCGAAGACGTCACAAGTTTTACATATTTTGTCTCTAGAGATGTCATAACAAGATGAACAAATCACAGTAGCACGCACGATCCTTGGTTATTCTGATCCTCATCCATGATGAGCTCGAGAATCAATGAGCACTTGTTTCCACCAACTGATTTGTAATGTGGACACTACATAACACTCCATTCTGCTTGAAAATAATGTGTTCTTTGAATACGGATACTCGGATGACTTTGGACTAACGTTGTTAAGCAATCACTTTTCACGATGCTGGAGGCGGAGATAGGATATTTTATATGTTCGATTCGATCAAATGCACAGCTTGTCGGCTACTTGCCACTGCAGTGACATTCTTCAAACTTTCTTTGCGAACCTAGACTCAGAGTGTAGTAAGAACAAGACTGCTAGGACTCTGTATTTCACCGGATGCTTACACAGGGCCAAAGATAAGCTGCACCACGGAGGCTTTAGGCACGACCTCATGCACTCTCCATAGCCTTTGCTATAACAATCATCTCCTTTAGGTCTGTTATAACGACAAGTTCTTATAAGACTCGAGATTGCAATGGTTCGAAAGAAAGCATACCCGCCAAACGGGCAAGCGCCCGATCCCCTTTCCAGAAGGGTGTGAAATTCATCATTCAGAATTGGAGCTGCGGATGTAGACCATAACGCGAGCAAGAAAACCGTTGAAACACGAGTTGAGAAACGCATAACGAGTTTTGTCTTAGAGATATCCGGCCAACGGAATCTCAGTTCAAACGCTCTCGGAGACCAGCTGAGAGATCGTATGTTTCACCATCCTTCATAAATACTTCCATGACACCGGAGTCCCAGGCCAAGAAAGATCTGCCAGCAACGTAATGTGATGGTAGTATTCACAGTTGCGATAGTTACGGGAGAAAGTCTTGGTATCTAAGTTGTGTAAGTAGCTGGGAGTTTCAATCATTTACCTACCCCAATAATATGTACATAGCAGATAATCAGCAAGGACTCGTTGCTTGTACGTGTCAAACAAAAACATCAAGAAGCATGAGAAGGGAATGACATCAATTCAAGAGTCTCAAACGGTGAGTAACTCGGGCGGGTTTGATCGGACCAGCGTTTCAAAAAGATCATCGTGAAATCGCATGAGGCCAAAAGGTCGGAAAACGTTGGTAATCATCTTGCATATCCTCTTTTGTCATCTCTATTAAACACGGCATAACTAAGACGTCAGCTGGAACACTAGGCCGACTGACATTTCGAGACGTTTCATTCGTTGAGGATGATAGACAGACCTTGCAAAGCCACTCGGGTGCGAGGATGTAATTTGAGCTCAGGAGCCATGAACAAGTGGCAAGTATGATGGTAGAATTTGAACCATACAGCTTCAAGGCAGCCGTAACATAGCACCGAGTATGTTTGCTTGGTTCAGGACGTCAGCACTCAGGCTTTAATTTGCAGCTTATAATTGATAATCACATGACTATTTCTTGGAGTAGTGTTTCAATAGAGAGACCAGCGTCAAAGGCGCCTCTCCCTATCCGCATAGCTGTTCGCCTGAGATAAAAACCAAGCTCAATAATCACATGACTAACGTTCACCGAGGACAGAATTAAACGTTGAACGTGTACCTATCACCTCGTACGTCTAGAAGATGGGAAACGCGTGCTCCGCAACTGAGGGAAGGTAAAACGACCAACAAATGATGCTTCTCCGTGCCACGCATGGAATAGAGCGTGGACAAGAACCATCTTGCATATGGATGAGGTCGCGAGTTCGGCTCTCACAGGCAAGTTCCAACCTTTCATCTGGAGACAAGAAGACGAATCAAAGAGGAATGAATGTGGCAGCGATGGATTGCAGTCTGTACAGAGTAATAAAACCTTAAACTAGCTTTCCGCTCGAGGATCCGGACAGGGAAGCAACACTTGTCAAATTCTGATGTCTAAAGTGGTCCACCTCTGGTTGTTACTTACCCATTGCGCATGTAAAATCTTCCATTAGAAACAACATGGTAAAAGTGCGTTCTTCGCAGCGGGTGCGAGCATCAAAACAAAAATGAAAACGTGCCGTACTCGGAAAGCGTGGCGACATGGTGGTTTAGGTGAAGAAGGAATGAATATATCACTGCTATCAGATTAGGTCAGCTGCCATTCGAAGCCCTGCTGAGTCTGTTCTTAGAGTCTCCATCTACTCTTAAATCTTTATCTACCACAATGTCAAACCGCGCACTCAACGACGAGGAGGTCTTACAGCAAATGAACAAGATGGTGCGCAGCTTCGAACGATATGACATTCTAACTCTGATCATAGTACCTGCCATTCCGATATCTTGTGTTCGTACTCGGGATGAAACATTCTAGGTTACCTTCATTAAGCAAGAAGCGTTCGAGAAGGCCAGAGAAATTACAGTCAAGGCAGATGAAGAGTTTGCGATCGAGAAGGTACAGTCACCTCAGGCTATATGCATCAATGTTTGTGATGGACTGAGGATGCTCATTGCGTACAGGCCAAACTCGTGAAGCAAGAGCAGCAGGCTATCGATGCTCAGTACGAGAAGAAGAGAAAGGGTGCCGAAGTTTCACAGAGAATGTACGCTTCGTCATGAATCCCAAACCTCGTATTCATCATCCGTACCTTGACCTCAGCGCACAATCCACACTAACCAACAAGTCGCGCCTCAAGTTGCTCCATCGCCGTGAAGAGCACCTTCAGGATCTCTTCTCAACATCGCGTGCCGCCGTAGTCCAGCTCGCTAAGGACGAAGGTCGTTATGTTCAATTTCTGGAGGGCGTCATCATCCAGGGGTTCCTTCAGATTCTAGAGCCCACTGCTACGGTATATGCCCGACCACAAGACGTAGAAATTGTCAAGCAGGCGGCAGCGAATGCACAAAAGTCGTACACTGAGATTAGTGGGAGGAAGGTTGAGTGCGAAGTAGAGGGTGTATTGAGTGACGACGCGTGAGTGCTCGGCGATTCTTTTAATACATCCTGAAGCTAAGACTATATGGGTCATCTCTAGCGCTGGCGGTGTTAAACTGGTTAGTGGTTCACGTCGTATTACTCTCGATAACACGTTGGATGAGCGTCTGCGGCTGCTCGAAGACAGGGTGAGTTGTCGCCGTCCTTTTATTGGCGCATGTCGCATGCATTCTGATGCAACGGTCATCTAGATGCTTCCTGAAATCCGCAAAGATCTCTTTGGCGTAAATGAGAACAGAAAATTCTACACATAATCACTGTATACCATGCGCCAGTATGAGAACGGACATTTTTGATCTCCTTGCAATCTCTAAGTTCGACGTCATTATCCTTGTTTAATTGAGTGAGCAATATCTTTTTATAGCCCATCTTGTGCCTTTTGAGACTTAACATTCCACGCAAGCTGGTGGGGATACAGCCAGCGGTGAGTCACAAGGGATACACTAACCTCGAAGACGGAAATTCAGACGGAACATTCTCTCACCTGAGGGAACGAAGGGTCCAAGAGAAAATGATTTCCAGTCACTCATATACATCTACTTACTCCCGATGGAAGTGATTACAGGGATATACAATACATAGAGAAAAACATGCCACAGCAGAAGAAAAGCGCAAACAATATCAAAAAAGAGAAAGATCTGACCAATGGTTTCAAGCATCCAAGGACAAAAAATCCAGTTCATCCGTGATCCCGACGTTCCAGCGCAGGATCGATAATCCAAACCCCTACGGAGGACATCAAGTCTTCACAGGCATCAAGTTTTCCTTATCACCCAGCACTTCGTGCACAGGGCTCTTCGCTCCTTTCCTCATGCTCGACTCTCCTCCAATCCCAAACCCAAATATCTTCCTCTCCTTCTTGATGTCCGAGGGCGTCTCAGGCTCAATAATCTCGAAGCTTACATCGCTCCACTCCTCCGGCATCTGCTCAAGCATGAGAGGTGCGTGGGGCTTCAGCTTCATTCCGTCACCGGTTACATCCAGCCGGATGGGTGATTCCGCGATCGAGGAAAGGATGTCTGTGCTGTCGGTGTTCGAGAGCGAGCTAGATTTGAGTGCTACTTGGTTCGCTCGGCGCTCGGCAAACGCAGCTGTGGCGCCTCCCACAGTGGGCATTGGCGGTCGGATCTTAGATCCAACCAAAGAGGCTGACGAAGGTAGAGTAAGTCCCAAACCCACGGAGTCAAATTTGGTGACGAAGGCCGCGAGTGCTCGGCGTTCTTCCTCCAGCGCTGTCCGTATCTATACATTTTTCTCATGAGCAACAGCGAAAAGAACTCTGGCAGAAAAATATACCTTCTTCTCCTTTTCAATCTGCTTCACCAATTCCTCCGCCCACCGCTCCTTCTCCTCTCGCTTATTCACCTCAGCAGCAAGTTTATCCTTCCACTCCTTCTCCACATCCTCTCTAACCTGACGCAAAGGTTCTCCAAGGTTTTCTTCGTATCCCCTTACAACGATCTCGAGTTCTCGGATAGTCTTACTCTGCTCCTGGATCAGTTGATCCTTGTCGTTGTCTGTTGCACCGATGGGCAAGGGCGGCCGTGCTTCCAACGCCGCTTCAAGCGAGAGTATCTGAGTCGCTTGCGAGTCGATCTGTAGGCGCGCAGAGAGGAGCTCTTGTTGGAGCTAAGGATAAAGTGTCAAGACGATAATCAAAAGATAAGAAAGAAAGTATACTTGATAAGGAGACATGTCGAAGTCAAGTTTGACAGGACTCACAGGGCGACTGTCGTCACCCTTTGAATCGCTAACGGTCTGACTTGTCAAGATCAGCTTCGTCAGTTGTTTGATTCGCGAGTTGAGGTCGTTCATCGTCTTTGATTCATCGATTTGCTGGATTCAGTACACTTTCGTCAGAAACATTGCAATGAAATAGAGAGGAATGACGTACTTCACGCGCGGAGAGTCTGCGATTCCGGACAGGTGC